TCTAAATTCCTTTAAATATTGTGTGCGTCAGATGTAATTTGTCAACAGTGTTTGTTCACTGTGATTACGGAACAGGACGGCAGTGGACTTGAGGCTTTTTATTTTATATTTTTACTTTAAAAACTACTGTTTTCCAAATTTTCCAAATACAAGGGATAAGATCTATAGCCAGGGTAAATAATCATGGCTCCTGACCTAACATCAAGTCACTGAAGCCAATGGATTTATGTCAGTGGAGAATTCCACCTTTATTACTGAGAGAACAATGTATTTTGTTTTCAGCAAACTAAATATTACTGTTCTATTCATTAAAAACCAACTAACTGTGCTCTTTAGTTCAGTGTATCTTTGTTCTTGAACTACTATGACAAATATAAAGTTTGTATTTAAAAAATAATCAGGCTGCAGATATGCCTTCTCTCATAATACACACAAAGGTTATTTGATTAGATTTGTACTTACCTAATTGGCTCTTGGTCTTCTTTGTCTTCCTTGCTTTGTGCTATCCTGATTCCACTTTTCTTTGCTCGAGGACAACCTGAGAGACTGAATGAAAGACTAAGTTTTAAAAAATAATTCCTCATTCCTGACTATAACTGATAAGGGCTCTACAAAGAGACATTCTTTGCACATGAAATACTACTGGCTGCACAATGCTGTCTTTTTTTCAACAGTTATAGCCCTGCTGATTTAAAGAATAAAGACAGTGGCAATAAACAGCCACACGGGGGATCCAAGTATCTCAGATTGTGACTGAAGGCTGGGACTGGGAGTACTTTGCACACTACATACACAACCTCTGAGGAGAGAGAAAAAGCAGCTCTTAAAATCTCTAATGATCCAGTTCCAGCTTACTCAGCAGAAGCAGTGATAGGCGTCTGAAGGAATGAGTATTTTATGGATAGATAAGTAGCATGTTCTGTGTGTTGTTGAGATGGAAATAAGAATGAGGAGTAAAAGCAGAAAAGATCTCTATATCTTTTAAGAGGGCAGAAGGGAGTTAAAAGATCATTTAGCGGATATATTAAAACAGTTAAAATTTCTAAAATTTTCCTGTAGAGCATGCGTGCAGGAATTTGTTCAAGAATCTTGAATAATGATATTGCATAATTTACAAAGTTGAACAATGACTTTCTGGAAAAATAAGTCACGTAAGCCAAAGGAAAATCTAATAAAGTTAACTAACAAGCTAGTAAAAGTACTATGTATAGGCACTGAAAAATATATTCAGCACTATACAGAATGCAAAGAAATATACCTCTCCATCCAAAACCTTCTAGGCTAAGTCCTTGTTTACTTTGTAAGATATCATTTATATAAACTCTGTAGAAAACTTTCCAGCAACTGAGTAAGTTTGTAAAATTGGCAGCAATACGTTGGACAATACATTTGTCTTTACGCAACAAAATAAATGGACATAAATCAGACATCAAGAATGGTAATGTACAAAAACCAGTGGGAGAACATTTTAACCTCCCTGGCTAAACAGTTAAAGACTTGAAAGTTGCCATTTTCAAGAAAAAAAAAAAAAAAAAACGAAACCAAACAAAAAACCCCCTTCAAAAACAGGCTGCAATGTGAAATTGCTGAGCTGGAATTTATATAAAAATTAGACATCAGGGCTATGTCTAAATTGCAAAGAAAAGTCAGAAAAATAAACGCAAATTGCAGTCTATACAGGGCCAAATTTCAGAAAAAACTCCTCTTTCAGAAGATCCCTTCTTCCTCATACAATGAGGATACAGGGATGCTGAAAGAACATGTCTGCTTTTTTGGAACAGTTTCTGAAAAAGTGGACGCATTCCTTGGATGCTGCTGTGCTTTTCCGGGATACCTCTGGTATTCCAGAACAGCTCTGCAGTGTAGACCTAGCCCATCATAATGGGTCTCAATAGGGACTGGGAATAATTCTCTCATTACAATAAATAATTTCCACTTTTGGTATTCTCACTTTCTTATCCATTTGAAGCCTGATTGAATTAGCTCTAATGCAATACTCCCATCTCCTTATCCCTACTGTCTGTTTCTTTTTCTTTTACTTCATGCATCTGATGAAGTGAGTTGCAACTCATGAAAGCATATGCTATAATAAAATTATTAGTCTTTAAGGTGCAATGGGCCTCTCCTTGTTTTTTTGTAAAAATTGGGTACATTGGGCTACTCAATCAGAGTTGAAGAAATGGTACTTTTACCAGAATATATCAGCGACACAAATGTATACACCTGACAAAAATTATACTTAATCTTTAACTCCAATGTTATTTTCATCTTCAAATACAAATGTGAAAGCTTAAAATTCATCAGTGGTATAGACAGATATCTAATTGCCTTCAAAAAGCATGCATGCATCTGATGAAGTGGGTCTTTGCCCACGAAAGCTTATGCTCCAACACCTCTGTTAGTCTATAAGGTAACACAGGACTCCTCGCCGCTTTTGCAGATTCAGACTAACACAGCTACCCCTTTGATACTTGATTCAAAAAGCAAGTGCCTCAAGAAAACACTAGGTATTAAATGAAATGAACTTACAGATCTCCAGAAAAAAAGATGGAAATGTCTGGGATATGAAAAAAATTCTTCCATCATACAGTATGTAGGACAGCAAATGTATGGGGAAAAATAACAGAATACAACATGCAACACCTGCATTAGGATAGCCAGGGATAGCTGAGCCTTGTTTGTGCCATAAGTGACATCTGATGGTGGCACAGGAAGGATTCAGAGGGCTTCGTTTACTATTGGCTTCAGCAGCCGTATTCTGCCCCCACTTTTATCAACTACCAAAAATTATTTTAATATTGGCTTTCCAGGGGATCTTCAAAAACTGGTAGTGGACATTTATCAGGCATGCATTTCTTGCCAACAACTGACATAATTACTACAATAAACTTTAAAAAACAATGAATAGTCTAGTAGCACCTTAAAGACTAACAAACCACGTAGATGGTATCATGAGCTCTCGTGGGCACAACCCACTTCTTTAGATGATTGTAGTATTGCAGCATCACAACACATATACACCCAGACACCTGAATTTGGTAATTAGGACTAGAACTTTGGCCCATCAGATGCAAGTACAGAGCCCTCTAGCATAAGTTGAAGAAAATCTCCCTTGTCTAACACTTCACACTGTGGGCCAGCCACTATAGAGCAACAGGTGACTCTTAAATCCTTTTGTGTACATGAAATCACCACTTGGAATTCCTCACCTTTTGTCCCCTCTGACTCAGGTCTCCCTCACTGTCAACAATCATACTATTTTCTCTGTCCCACTGATATGATTCAGCAATTACTGACAGTACACCATTAATATATACAAATTACTTAGAAAGGTATTTAGGAGATAATTTTAAGAAACTTAGGGCATGTTTAAAAATGTATCTAGCTTGTTATTTAAGTTACCCCTATATTATACTAACAATGTTTTTTATTTTCTGTCTGTTGGTGGGCATTGTGTTCTTAAAATCTTTAGATGGAGAGTGTGGTTTCCCACAGGAACATGTTGATTTCTTGGGAATATCAAATTGAAGAAAAAATAATTGGGGGATGGGTCAACCCAAACTGAGAATTTTAGGTTGTGGAACAGAATCAGAATGGTTCAGTTTTACATTAATATGCATTGGTGTGAGCTACAGGAAGACAGAAAAAGAACTGCTCATAAGAAGTTAATGGGGAAGATAAGGATATTATTGAAGAGAGAAATGATTTTTATGGGCTGTCAAACTATTATAAAAATAATCACGATTAATTATGAGATTTAAAAATAGACGCAATTAATTGAAGTTTTAAGAACACTTTTAAACAATAATAGAATACCAATTTAAATTTATTATAAATATTTTCAATGCTTTTCCATATTTTCAAATATACTGATTTCAATTATAACACAGAATACAAAGTGTAAAATGCTCACTTTATATTATTATTTTTATTACAAATATTTACACTTTAAAAAGAGATAAAAAAGATAGTTCCATCTACAAAAGTTGAAGCACGAAAGGGTCATATAAGTGTTTAACATATCTGGCATGTAATTACCTTGCAAGTGCCTTTTCTCATTGTCAGGTAACATTGTAAATAAGCCACATGCAGCAGTATCTCCCACAAATGTAAACAAACAAGAAGTAGACTTAGTGGACGTGTAGGCTATAAAGTTTTACATTGCTTTGTTTTTAAGTGAAGTTATGAGAAAAATAATTCTACATTTGTAAGTTGCATTTTCACAATAGGTTATATTACAGTATTTGTATGAGGTAAATTGAAAAATATATTTTTTTGTTTTTCACATTGTAAATATTTGTAATCACAAATAGCAGTATAAAGTGAGCATTGGACACTTTGTATTCTGTGTCTTAATTGAAATCAGTATATTTGAAAATATAGAACAAATTGAAAATGTTTATAATACATTTAAATTGATATTCTATTGTTATTTAACTGTTCAAAAACTGTGATTAATTGTGGCTATTTTTAAAAATCAAGTTAATTTGTGTTGCATTACTCACTTGAGTTAACTGTGATTGACAGCCCTAATTTTTTTACATCAGTCTTCACTGTGGAGAATGTTGGAGAAATATAATCCCAGTGTGATGAACTGGGGAAATCTGAATTCTATATCTTTGCCAAGCTGCAAACTCCATTTTGAACATACATCACATTGCCGTCTCTATTGTCTGCTTGCCTCCACAATGGCCTGGAAACACACTCCCCTGTGGAGGGATTTACTTTAGAAAGAAGATAAGTAAGAGAGGACAAGATAGTATACAAAATACTGAATGATCTAGAGAAAGTAGTTTGGGAATTTCTATTCTTGTCTCTCATAACACAAGAAGTAGAGGACATGCAATTAAATGAAAAGGTGAGAAATTCAAAATTGATATAAGGAAATATTTTTTCACACATGTGAATAAATTGTGGAACTCATTGCCACTGTGATTAGTTGAGGCCAAGAATTTAACAAGATTAATCAAAGTCATTGATATTTAAATTGATATCCTGAATATCCAGCACTTTCATAATTAATGATAAAAATACTGTAAGGATATTACACTTCATGCTTCAGGGAATAGGACAGGAGGGCAGGATGAATAGGAAAGCAGATTACCCTGTGTCTGCCTCTGTGGGGTTCTTATACTTTTCTCTGCACTATCTGGCTCTGACCACTGTCAGAAATAGGACACTGGATCAGACAGGTGCAAAGTTTGATTCAGGCTGGCAATTTCTATGCTTCCCATGGAATGGAAATTCTGTTTTTAATCAAATATCCTTAAAAGGTTATGGGTAAAATCATGGTCCCATAAAAGTCAATGGGAGTTTTGCTACTGACTTCAATGGAGGCAGGATTAAAAAAAAATAGAGAAAAATTACTGACAAAATTGGTTGTTGTTGTTGTTATTGTTTTCTGGTGAAAGTTTGCATTTACAAGCTGAACCTCTCTGGTCCAGGACTCTCTGGTCTGACAGCAGCTGGGAACAGGGGCCAACTAGGAGTCTAGCAGTAGAGGGACTGGCAGCCAGAAACCCAGCTGGGGGAGCTGGGAGTGGAGC